AACAGGTAGTGGCTGCCAGGCAATTCCTCCTCATGGACTGGAGAGCATTCTGTCTCTCTGGGGAAGAGAGCAGCCAGGCCTGAGTGAGCAGGAGGGATGGTCAGATACAGGAGGACAGGCATATGCTGCCATGGGCAGGTCACTTACTCTGATCCCGGTGGGGTTCTATAGAAGAGCGTGAACAAGACAGAGCTGGTGACTTCTGTCCTCACTTCCCAGCTGCACATTAGCCGATCAACCCCATTGAAGAGGCAGCGAAGGTTCTTGGGCTGAGCCTCATCCCCTAGTGAGGAGCCAGTGGTTAGTGTAGCTCTGGGAGGGGCAGGGTTGGGAGAGTTGGGGAGGACAGTGGAGAGGATTGAGACTATTGACGGAGGAAGGGAAAACATTTACTTTCAGGGTTCTCTAGGCCAGTCCAGAGCATTATGCTGGTCCGCTCATCCAATGGATACAATCCAACTATTGAGAGAGACTGGCCTCTCCTTAGCCCATACCCCCAAACCCAACATCTCTCCTGGCACTCACTGGCCCTTTTGCTGAGAGGCTGGATCCTGAGCACACGTCTTACTTCTAGAAGTACCCCATCAAGGCGAGGGGTTTCAGGTGCAATGGCAGGGGAAGTGGGGCAGGATTGGGAGGGAGGGAGAGGACGGTGGAGAGGATTGTGACCATTGAGGGAGGAAGAGAAAACGTTTACTTTCGGGGTTCTCTAGGGCAGTCCAGAGCATTATGTTGGTCCACTCATCCAATGGATACAATCCACATATTGCGAGAGACAGAGAGACTGGCCGCTCCTGAGCCCACATCCCAAAACCCACTATCTCCACTGGCACCCACTGGCCCTTTTACTGAGAGGCCGGATACTGAGCACACCTAGAAGGGCCCCATCAAGGCGAGGGGTTTCAGGTGCAATGGAGGGGAAGTGTGCGTAAGGAGCCTGTACTGCCCCTACCAGTGCCACACTGGGACTGGTGCCGTGCTCCTGTGCAGTGCAACTAACCAGAGCATTGCAGTCTCTGTGGCTACTGCTCTGGTACCTGTTAGTGACACCAAATTCACTTCAAATAAGAGAACACCAGTGAAACTGGACCATTTTCATCAAATTCCACAGATTCTCCAATGTCATCAGCTCAGCCCCCAAATCCTCTGGAAGCGAAGCACAAAATCCCTCTGCTCCCAGCATCTCATCACATCCCTCCTTCCCCCCACAGCCCCTCAGCCTCCTGAATTACCTTCCTGGGACTTCCAGGACACGGCAGTGCTCCATTCACCGGACTGCCCAGACCAACCAGCACCCTGGCTTGGCTTGGATCGCACACGAGCTACATAGGTGCTGCCTGGCACAAGGGCATCACAACTCAGCAGGCAATGGGAGGATTTTGCGACTGACACTGAGGAAGATTTCTGTCAGTGGGGATGAGATAGCGAGAGGTGAGGGAAGGTGGAGGGAGAGAGAGAGAGAGAGAGAGACTTGTGAGAGAGGTGGGTGGAGGACCCTTTTCTTGGGTAATCCAGCTCAGCCAAGCACAGCCTGCGCTGTGATCCCTGGGTAAGGTGGAGCCAGATGCTCCTTGTGCAGGGATCATTGCTCTTATAGCACACAGGCTGCTTTTTACTTGCTAGATCTCTGGTCTTGACCAGCCAAGGCCATGGCTGGACAGCACAGGATATGTAAGATGCACACACAGCTAGCTGCAGCGTGCACGGACCCACCTTCTGGGCCATTCAGGTTTCAGAGGATCGGCTGGGTTCAGCGGCAGCCAAGCAGGTTTCAGAGGATTGCAAAGGTTTGTCTTCTGCCCTCTAAAAGGTGCAACCAAGAACAGCACATGCCAATGCCTAAGCACGTCTCATGCCTACCTCCTGGGATTCCCACTCCCGCTTGTAGGTCATGTCAAGCTCCAGTGCATTGGGCAGCCGGTGTCTTCTCTTTCTCCCTCCAGCTGCTTTCCAGGTTGCTTCTGTGACATTGATCCAACGCTTCTGTGGTGGGAGGGTCTGGACTGGAAATGGGAAGGGACAACATGGGCTGTGGTTATTAGTAGATGTGGAGAGAGCAGAGGGCCTTTTTAAGTCTTATTTCCATAAGGAAGGACCCAGATCTGCCTAACATCAGGCTTTTGTGGGATTTCTCAGGACTGAAAAAACAACAACAACAACAACAAAAACAACTAAGGCTTGTTTGGACTTGGAGTGAAAGAAATGAAGTTGCCAAGGCCTTACAGAAAATAGCGATGAACAGAACAGAAGGAGAATAGGGAGGAGAGTGTTGTCAGGTAGACCCATGGCAGCCAGCATTCATTTTAAGGTGGAGACATATTACTGTGTAGTTTTCTGAGTGAAAAGGTTTGTTTGACATCAGTTTTTTTCCTAATGGCAGAGAAACCCAGCTAGAACAAGGGTGTGGGTCAGCTGGGAGGAATACATCCGGCTTTTCCATTGTAGGCAGGTAAGGAAGGAATCTATTTATCTATCTTGAATCTTGTAAGTGAGGAGCTGTTAAACAGGTGTCACAATGGAAACGGAAACTCAGTTCCTAGCAGAATTATAGCTGACATGCAGAAGTAAGGTGAAGGGTTAGGGACAAGGTGGATACAAATCAATTTTTTTAATTAAAATTATTTTTTTATTTAAATCTTTTTTTAGTTTTAATTAAATACAGCCTTTTTGCTGTCTGGTCACCCTAAAATCAAGATAGTGAACATGAAGATTTTTCATCTCTGCTGTTTAGACTCTGACAAGGGCTGGAGCTAAGAAAGAAAAGCAGAGGTTCCTAGGGTCAACCTGGGATTCGCCCTAAAAGACATTCAGTGCTGATAGATTACTACATCTCTGTCACCTTTTGAAAGGCTATATTTAGTTGCAAAGCAACTTGTGTTAATGGTTACCAACCAATGAAAATCAACATCTTGTGATGGTGTACCCCATGAGGCTTCATGGGAATATGCTTATGAATGTATATGTGATATAACTGGAATATGTTTTATGCTACATCTGCCATGTAACATATCTATGTAAAGGTTATGATCTACTGAATACATTCCTCTTATTTGTATGTATCATTTTTGTACTTGAAGTTAGGAATATTGGCTGTATACTTGTTTGATAGCCTTAGTAAAGGATTTGGTCAGCTTCTTGAGAAAGGAATGTGCAAATTAAGTGCCCAGTCAAGAACCACTTAAGCCAGCAATGAACTCAAAGACACCAATCAACATCGGAGCTTTCCCAGGAATGTGGCTTGGCTGGTAAGAAACTCATTCGTGCATGGACATGTGACTTGCCCATGTGACTCCAAGACTCCTTCTTGGAGCTGGACTTTGCATAGGAGAGAGGAGGGGGGTCTCCACCCACAAGAGAAAGTCTACTTAAATGCCTGGGAGACCCCTTCATTTTGTCTTCAGCTGGCTAAAGAGAGAGCCTCTCCACCCCCAAGGATACCTGAAAGAAATTGGAACAAAGGACAGTAACTACAGGGGTGTGAATGATTGCTGGACCGAGACTAGAAATAGACTAGTCTGTAAAAGGAAGCTTACTGGGTGAGGTTTTTATCTGTATTCAGTTTTCTTAGACATAGACTTGCGTGTTCTATTTTATTTTGCTTGGTAATTCACTTTGTTCTGTCTGTTACTACTTGGAACCACTTAAATCCTACTTTCTGTATTTAATAAAATCACTTTTTACTTATTAATTAACCCAGAGTATGCATTAATACCTTGGGGAGGGGCAAACAGCTGTGCATATCTCTCTATCAGTGTTATACAGGGCGAACATTTTATCAGTTTACCCTGTATAAGCTTTATACAGGATAAAACGGATTTATTTGGGGTTTGGACCCCATTGGGAGTTGGGCATCTCGGTGTTAAAGACATGAACACTTCTGTTAGCTGCTTTCAGTTAAGTCTGCAGCTTTGGAGCACATGGTTCAGACCCTGGGTCTATGCCGGAGTAGCCTGGCGTGTCTGGCTCAACAAGACAGGGTGCTGGTTTCTGTGATCCACCCTGTCACACATCTCTTAAGAAAAATAACTTTAAAAGTACAAACACAAAACAAAATTAAAATTGAAGATTTAAATCAAGGTTTGCTGCTTGTTGATGTCAATCATGATTAAAATGTAAATGTTTTTTATTTAAACCAATCCACTCTGATTGGGGATCAGGATTCTTGGTTAGGGTTGGGGGACCTGCTCAGAGGAAGAATTATTCATGTGAAAGGATCAAAAATATTCCTGGAGAGAAGAGAGCGGTGGTGTCTTGCCCTTACCCTGGAGGAGACTGACATTCAGCTCGGCCTGCAGCAACCGATCGGGTTTGAAAGTGTAACTGTCGCGCAGCCCAGAAACAAACATGGTGCTGTTCCTGTGGCAGCTCCAGCAGACACAGGAGTCCTGGCAGATGGGCAACTCCTTGCCTCCCTGAGGCTCACATAGGATCTGTGTGCTTCTCCCATGTGCAGAGAAAGTGGGTGAGGAGGAGCTGATTTAGATACAGATAGAAAATCCCAAATTAGGCTCCTGAAATCTTCCCCACATTTATTCTATTCTACTCAATATAAGTTCTTATACTGCACTCATTGCTGTGGTATCTGAGCACCTTCCAGTAAAGCTTTAAGAAATGTGAATATGCGTCTGCTACAGTTATTGTCTTGCCCTAGCTTCAGGGAGAACATATACACATGTTGCTCTGTATGTATATTAGAGAAGGCCGGTCAAAGAAATGAGCCTTTTAGTTAGTACGGAAGGTGGTGAGCCAGAGGCAATGCGTGGGGGGGCATGTGGGGTCATGTGTCCCCCACCATTGCTGTGTCATATGAGGCAGCCAGGCCCTCTCCCTGCAGGGCAGCTGAGCCGGGGAGCTGTGAGCTGCACCTGTCCGGGAGAGGCAGAGGCAGGAGGAACAGCTGTGAGCTTGGAGGTACAGAGAACAGGACACCTCAGCCGGGTCCATTTTGGGGGGCAGTGAGCCAGACATGCACGTCTGCACTCACTCCACATCCCCAGCCAGCTCCAAACTGACTCACCCTCCAGCCCCTCCTCCTCTGAGCTATGTCTCTTTCCCGGGCCAGGAGGTCACCTGATTCCTTTGTGCTCCAACACCTTTAGCTATCGCCTTGCAGGGGGGAAGGGCCCAGGCCATTAGTTGCCAGGAGACAGAGTGTCGGCCATTTATGCACACTGGCCCTCCGCTCTGCGACAATTACACCCCTTTATCCCACCACTTAGAGACTTAAGAAATGCATAGGGGAAACTGAGGCACCCCTACAGTATTCAGAGGAAACATTAAGAACAGTCTCACTTCGACACATTGCCTCATTATCAGCAGACGTGGGCTGTCTCTGTGGTGAGCTCAGCAATACTGGCTGAGGTAAACACCCCAGACCTCTCCTCTGCTCTCTACACGGGCTTCCCATAGAATGTCAAATAAAGTTCAAGGTCTCGGTCCCTATCTTCATGGCACTCCCCTGGCCTGAGCCCAGGCTGTCTAACAGATCATCTAAAACTTCAGGATGAAGACCATGGGCAACAAATCTACTCCTCTGGCACACAGGAACTCCTACAGGAAGGGTAAAGCTGACCTGGGCAGAGGACACAACTTTCTCTGGTGCTACTCTGAGATCGAGGAATGAATTCCCCCGAGAACTAAGGACCATCCCAAACCTCACCACCTTCCGCTTCAAATGCAAGGTGCATTTTTTTGACCTGCCTTCTCTAATGCAACTAAAGAGCAACATTTATATTATATTAACACCCTTCCTACTCCAAACAAAAAAACTACTCAAACTGCACTGCATGTGCTTCTCCCACTGGGGGAAAAGGATCAGAGAGATAACCACATCTTACAGATGTGTAGTCATGTTTTTTAAATGCACTACTGGAAGGCACTCAGAAAAGACAGTGATGAGGGCAGTGCAAAACCCCACATAGAACAGAATGTTCCCGTTGACCCTGCTGCAAAGAAGGGAGGTGTGGAAGGTCTGTGAGAGCAGAGCCAGCGCTCTCTCCTCTGCTGATGAATGAGTATTACTCCAGCTGTACTCTGATGCCTCTTTCTCCACCCCAGGTACAGTAAGCTAACAGACCCTGCCATAACTCACACCTGGGATCCCCCAGAAAAACCAAGGGAGAGTGATAGAAAAGGTAATGAAAATAAACTGATCAGCACACCTTCCTGTATCTCCCCATCCTCCCAATGCAGACCTAAAAGTGTCTCCAACTTCCACCCCCCAGCAGGGCCAGCACAGGTGTCCACGTGCTCCTCAAAGCCGGGCTGTCAGCTCGGATCCCTTTCCCTCCTCCATTCCCACCTCTTCGGTTCAGCAGCCACAGACCTCCTGTGTCCTTCTCCAGCAGAGCAGGGGTCAAGCACTTACTTGTCTGAATTGTCCTCATGGTGAAGAGTCACCTGGATGAAGCGACGTGCCGCTGTGCACTCCTGCCACATGCAGGTCGTCCGGGAGGTGAAGTCATTGTAGCAGCGCAGGCTCTGCATCGGGAGGCTCTCTGCAGGGGGAAGGAAAGCACAACGCTGTGGGTGGGTCATAGAGATGGGCAGTGAGGAATAATGGGATGTGCACACCGGGCGGGGAGGGCAAAGATGGAGGAATGAGGCGCGAATGGATAAACTCTCCCGGGAGTCCCTCCCATGTCAGTTAGCTCACGTATCAGGGATGTCATGGACAAAACCTCCCCCTCCCCGCTGCTCACAATCCAGAGGCTGGAGAAGAGAGGTTTACTTACCAGGAGCTGTGGTAATGAGAGAATCGTCCCTGTGCATTCACAGTCTGGCCAACTTGTTTGAGTCTATTATGAGTCTCGGGCTACTGAGTGTTTTTCTTAAAGTCCCAACATCTGTATTGAGGTTATTACCCGAGACTCTCACTTTTCATGTACGAAAAGTAAGTGTCTGACCTACACGGCTGGGAAGAGAAGCTTGAAGGATGAGCCCTAAATACGCCAACACCAAACAACAAATCAACCCCCTCCCCCAGCTGTATTCTCATTCAAGTCTCATGATATTTAAGTCACTCTCAGGATGTTTTAGGCCTGACTCTTGATTTCTGAACGCTGGGGGTTGGCAGTTCTGATTTGCATTGTGGGCGTCGCCCTGGTGGTGAGCACACAGAACCCTCGTTGAAAGCCACGCCCGTGGGGGGTGAGTTAAGACCTTTACTGCAGCCATGACCTCAGTGCGAATGAGAACAGCAGTACATCTTCTAATCTAGATAATTGAGACTTGCTGGAATTCCAGTTTGAGATGCAATCAGTTCCTAACTATCTTGTCCCTTCTGGTGTGTAAAATTTCCAGGTAGACGCCACCCTTGATTGGAGTAGAATTGTCTGTGCTGTCTGTGAGCAGCTCTAAAGCTGGGCCACACGTGGAATTCCCACTGCATGGGACAGTTCAACATTACAAAATTGGTTTTCCTTCTACACTGAAAGGAAACCAAAAGCTTTTAAATTACTCAGACAATGGGAATTCTGAAGAGTTTGTTTTGCACGTGGAGCATCAGAAAAATTTCAAAATTTCATTTCAAAACAAACTTCTCATTTAGAAACTTATTTCGTTTTGTCACTGTTGTATTGTTTTTATTATTGTTGCATTATTTCAGGAGGTGTCGCTCGCAGTAATGCACTATATGACATGTCATATGATGTCAAGCCATGCGACAAAACACCTCTAAGGCCCAAGTGAAGCACTCGGCAATGAAGAGGGTTGTCCTGGTGTGAGCATGGGATTTGGACCTGAGAATGGATCACATAGCTTAAGAGCCTTGGAGGTCAGATAGGCCTGGAGACTTGGGTGTCTTTCCCTGAGTGTGAGAGAGGTGAAAACCCTGCCAATAGCACATTGGGCTGGGGAGTGTGATTGCCCCAGCACAGCAGACATCAGACATGCACATCCACCGCTGGAAAGACAGATGTGCATGAGGCACCTCCTCTGAAACCCATTTTAGGCTCTGTATGGGGTCTGGGCTTGGTGCAGAGCTGGGGCAGCAGGAGCTCAGAGGGAACATTGTGGAATTTGGAGAAATTTCTCCCTTTCTAAGGTACACTGACCTAGAACAAAGCAACAAATAACTAGCTCTAACTGTGCACAGATGGGAGAGTAAACCTAGAAACAGGAGCAGTCAATGGACACGACAGAGGGTCCTGTTTGTTCTCTTCAGTGGTAAAGAAGGAATTAAGGCAGTTCAGAGGGATGCACACCCGTAGACATGGGCCTTTGACATTGACACGGATGACTTGCTCTGTCTCCCTGCCCCTCACATTTCCCCCCTCCTCTCTGTCTCTCTTTCACACACACCTCACAGAGTCATCCTCCCATTTGTCCACACCTCCAAATGGATATTTGTTCACTTATATTTCCATTGAATCTAGGTGGCGTTCTATCCCTCCACTCTCCTCCAGGGGTCTGTCTATCCCTGCAATGCACCTCCAGTTCATCCACCTACTCACCAGCCAGCTTGTTTACACATTTGCCCAATAGCCCACCTGTCCATCCATCCATCTACTCACTCTCCTGCTCTTCCATCCATCCATCCATCCATCCATCCATCCATCCATCCATCCATCCATCCACTTCTCCATTCAGCCATGCGCCCTCCCATCTGTAATTCCATCCACATTTCCATCCACTTACCATACCACCCATTCACATAAACAATCGCCCTCTTGCCTGTCAGTCTAGTCACCAACATACACATCTGGAATGGCAGAGGGAGCAGTCAAGCAGAGGAAAGGGGGAAAGAAGGAAAGGGAATGGAGAAGAGTAAAGGGACTGAAAGGAGGGGAGGGAAGATGATAAAAAGGGAGGAAAGAAAAAGAAGAGGAAAAGAAACGGAAACTTACCTCGAGATTCTCCGACCCTGAAAGCCCAGCACAGAGCCAGCAGAGCACTGCAGAACAACTTCATCTTCACACCAGCCTGCGCCCACCAGCTCAGTCCTGCTCCCTGTGCTCTGGGCTGATCACCAGCCTGGGGTTCTTGCACTCACACTTGTTAACTCCTTCTTTGTCACCTGTTGAATGTGGAAGCCAAGCTCTGTTGGTCAGGTGGGAGAGGTTGGGACCTTCTGTGAGATACAAAACCTCCCCTCCCTGCACTGAGGGGACCTTTCACTGATCCATCAAGGCCACAAGGGACCATTAGGTCACCTAGTCAGACCTCCTGTAAGACACAGGATGGAAAATAAAATTTACTTTTCAGAACCAATACATTGCAGGGCAAGGTCACCATCTCCTTACTGGGGTGTTGCTGAATGCCCAGAGAACTGAGAGCCAATTGTGCTTTATTTGACTAACATAAGCATTGTCCCCATTAACCTCATCAGCAAGAAACAGTCCTAGGCTGTGGAAAGAAGGGACTTCAGTCTCCATGTTCATTCGTTCCCTGGACTTCCCCCAAACACACAGCCACACACCCACACTTCCCCCATTGGTTCCCAAGCGTAACCTGGAGACACACCATCCTACCCTACCTTACCCCATCTCCACCACTCAAATACACCTCTCTCCTCTTGGAGGGAGATGGGGATTCAGTCTTCATGTTCCTTCAGTTCCGGGCTTCTCCCCCACCCGCTTCTCCTCCAGTGAGACCGCAAGTGAGAATTGCTTTGAAGTGATTCCAACTGGCAGTTTGTAGCCAGTGCCCCGGGTATTGCTTTGGGACCCAATCCACAGGCATAATCCCAAAGGAGATTTATTGTCTCCTTTGGTGGGATCTAGCATTGAATTTGGTGATGCAAACACCATGGGACAAATTCTTCACTGGTGTAACTCAACTGAAGTTAAAGGAGTTGCACCACTGGAGAATGTGCCCCCATATTATTTCTTTCTAAAGAGCATGACAGACCCTCCCACCTTGGGCACAGCCACAGAGCCAAGCCTCTGTGCTCTGGGGATGTCTGTTCTGTGGCTTTTCCCCACTTTGGGGGAGCATGGAGAAGAGGATCCACCCAAAACAACCCCCCGCTTCCTAAATGCCATTTCCTTTGACAGAATATGGCCTGCTAGACAAGTGAACATTCGCCACAGAGAAGAGATCCCACTGTGACTAATGGCTCCAGAGCTCATGAGCCCTTGTCTGTCTGGGGACAGGTTCTCTTTGCCACGTACCCTTCCCCCAGTAAAGGCAGAGTTTCTCACCTGAGCCAAGAGCTGCCGGTGGGATAGCCGCCTCACAGCAGGTGGATCGCTGGCCCTCTCAGTTCTCACTCCCTGGCAGCTGGAGCGTCTTTACAGATACAGGAATCAGCAATGACCATGGCTGGAATGGATCCCCATGGGAAATAATGAAGCTGGGGTATCCCCTGCACCTTTTGCCCTCTGAAGGCTTCCACACCCCTATATGCCTCCTTTCAAGGAGCAGATACAGCCCTGAACACCGTGGAGCTGAAGTGTGAGACTCGGACTCTGAACTTCCTATTTTTGGTGTTTTCACACCCACCGGGTCCCTGCCACAGATACAGTTCTTAAAAGCTGGGAGGGGGAGGAAATATCTCATTTCATTGTGACCTTTCACTGATTCTTATTAACCGGTTTGGAGGAACCAGGACATGTTGATTTCTAGGAATCAAGAGTAGTACGCTGCTAACAGAGACTGGCCTTTGCTTCCCATCTCCTTGCCCCCATATCCAGTCAGACACTTGCGAAGAAGAGAGAAGGAAAAGGGCAGTAGCGCTAGTAAGAGGAGTTCTGTATTTATCTCCTGCCTGCCCCGCTGTAGCTTACCATAAGACTGTAAGATTTTGGGGGCAGTGACTGCTTTTCACTACATGTGTGTGCAGCACCTTGCCCCCTGGGCTCTCAGTGACTTCAAACAGCTTTGGATCAATAGTAACTCAGTACCACTTATTTCCCTTCCTTCTAAAATTTGCAGACAGTGTCACCTACTCCTCTTTAGTGTGTGTCCATCTGGGGTGACAACGTCACTGCTGTCTGTGGCCATTGTCTTCTATCACAGATAAGCACAGTGCCATTTTCACAAAGTGGTTGCAGCTCCCAGGCCCCCAAATTATACTGATTTTTTCATTTTGCCTTATTTATCTCTATACTTCTCCAGTCCCCAGTGATTTCGACATCAATTTCTAGCAGTGGAGGGGTTCTTGGTTTTAGTTTCCTGTATAACAAGCTAGCAGCTGGTGACAGCCTATGCTTCAGTGGTGCCATTCTGTGATTAAACAGTTCTAAGTAGGATCAGAGTCTGGCTCTGCAGCCTTTTTCTATAGGCACTTTATTATTTTGACTCACTTTGCCACCGGCCCCTTGGATTGGGGATAATAAGGAGGCAGTCAGCTGCCAGTATCTTCTTGTCAGGCTGTCTCAGGGATGTGATAATAATAGTCTAGGACAAGTGAATAGTCCCCCCCTCCCACCTATAGAAACATATCTATGCTTTCCTCATGGGTCCAGCTCTCAGTGTGCATCTCAGTACCAGGGCTCTGCATGGGCAATATACTCCAAGAATGCGATGTACAGGTAAGTAACCTCTTTTCTGTGTGGAAGCAAGAAGGACTTCAAGAAGGGAAACTTGATCTATCTATGCAGCAGGATCATCAAAGACTAGAGGTGAGACTGAATTTGGATCACAAAGCTGTCGGGGTGCATAAGCCATTAGCCTACTAGGGACTAAGCCTCCATCTCCAAATTTGGGTTTCACTTCTACTCCTTCCCTGTCATACCATCTCGATTCTGTAGAAGTGAGTAGCACACTCAATGGCCACAGAAAGCAGAAGGAAACTCCTGTTTAGATGTGATTAGATTGCTTTTGTTTACATGGCTTGGTACGTACTGTACTTCATCCACTCACACCACCCTATCTAAAAGGGGACTTGGGCAATACTGCAAGATTGTGAGACCAGGCTGGGGGTGCATGCAAGCTGATTGCTGATATGGTATCTCTGCTCTGTGAAAGAGAACAGCCTCTGAGGGAGGTGTCTGATTTGTGTATATGAGACACTGCCCCAGTCCTTCTGCAGCTGACTACCCCATCCCGCACTCCTGTTACAGGGCTGGCATGAGGTCACTTCCATTGAACGCATCTCCTTATGTGATCATCGTCACAGATCCAGTCAAGCACTTTCTCTTACCTGCCCTCCAGATTGGTGTGAGGGGAAACCAAGCCTTTGAATCTCTGCCTGTTAAGCCTCCCTGAGACCGAATGGAGTCCAGACGCTGTCCCTGTCTTGGGGCCTTGTGACAGTGACTCATCCACCAATGTGCCCCATTGTGGCTAGGCACAGGGTTTTCCCTCCTTTTGTTGCCCTGCCAACCAGCCAGTCAGGCTTGCTGCTGGTGGTCCCCTGTCTTGCAACTCAGCCTCTTCCAGCCAGGTCACACTCTGACTTACCCCTAAGGCGTGGAACTGAGTCCAGACCAAAACAGTATGGCAGCCTTGTACCAGGTCTCTGGCTCAACTCTAGGCCTACTAGGGCTTGTGACTCTTGTCCAGAGCCTTCATCAGGCCTTTCCTTGGGGGCCCATAGGGGAACCCAACCTCCTTCCAGGGTCCCTGTAGCAGGTGGCTAAGGTCTGCTTCTTCAGACCACCTGCTTCTTTCCTGGACATCTTGCTACTGCAGCCAGCCTCTAGCCCTTCCTCCCCAGCTGTCCTCAGGCCTCCAAGGAAAGGTAACAAAGGAAAGCACAACACAAAAATAGTCCAAGTATGTCCCTGGCCTCCCTCCTTTTAGAAGCTACCTGATGAGCCTGGCTCAGCATCCTCAGGGCTATTGTGCATTGTTTGCAGGAATCCTCTACTAGCTTCATCCACCACGATGCTCATTTCTGGGAACTAGTGGGGAGAGGTCTCTGTACCTCAAAGGACGGCACCTTCTGAACTGGGCATCTCCCTTTTTAAAACTCCTCCTCTAAGAATGGCATGCCTAACAAGTGTGGTGGGGTGGGGCTACCCAAGCACCAAACTGCTCTTAACACCTTCTTGCCTAGGGTGGGGTTTGCACGCCCTGACACAGGTCCATAGGTGCTCCCTTTGGGGTGCAGGCTCTGTTATCTCTTCCTGAGAGCTTAGATACCCCCCTCCCATCCATGTCTAGCGACTTACCCCCTGGGCTCATGCTGACCCTTCAGACTCTGCTGTAGCTTAAACACATCATGTGCTGCTAATACCAGGTTGACACTGTCAGCATCATCAGGTAAGGAGATGATGCTTTCATGTGACTGCTGGAGAGATGCCCAGACTCCTGCAGCCCAGTCAGGGATCTGCGCTGATCATGTGAGATGACAATGTTTTTTCCCTCTTCTAGGGACATATCAGTGGAAGAGGACCTGAGCAGCACTCCATTGTTCAAGGACCTCATGGCATTAATGAGGTACAGCACAGGCAGATGGAGGTGCAGCCACTATTGGATGCAGAGATTCACTCCCAGGCATATTTCCTGAGTTACTCCTGCTCCTGGCTGTGTTAAGGTCCGTCCAGCCATTCCAGTGTTCTGGGCATGACATACTCGTCCCGATTACCCTGGAGAGTTGGCAGTTGTCACAACCTGGCCCAGTACCACTCTGTATGGTCCCTAGTCTGTTGTGAATGGACCCAATGACTGGGTCCCATGTGCTTCCAAGCCAAGTGGGCCTGGGCAGAGTCTAGTCATTGCTTCTAGCTGTGGGACTGTAGGACACACTCCCAGCCTCAGTCCTCTTGTGTGACATCCTTGGGATTTGGGGCACCACTGTCCAGCCACCCTAGACATTCCTCTACACAGGAGAGAAAAGGCATTGCCACCACCCATGCAGACATCTGTGATGCACATAAATATTGTGTCCAAGTGTTGCCAGCATCATTGAGTGTGCACCTCCACTGAGCAAGTCTTGATAATGTCTCGGCCCATCCTGTTATTTATGATTTGTATTGTCGTAGTGCCTAGAACCCAACACCCCTTCCCACTGTTGCCAGTCCAGTGTGTCTGGAACTCACAGGCAGTGCAGTCACATACGCGTAGCTGGTTCTCCCATCTCAGCCCACCAATGCTTTTCCCCACTCAACCCTAAGCTTGCCAGCCCTAGGCTTACAGAAATAATGAGTCCAGGCCCTCAAGATCATTAGATTGGCTTGAGAATCCTGAGACTTTAATCATAAATGTTGGAGGGTTTTTTTTATTTACCTTCTGGCATTTGAGAAGGGTCACATTTTCAGATTATTTTCTCAAGCATGAGGTCTGAGATCCCCATGCAATCAAATGACTCCAGGAGCTGGAGCTTTAAGAAAAAGTTGTGATAAAATTGAGAGTTGACAACACTATTGATCAGTAACCTCTCTGCTCTCTGTTAACACCTCCCTTTGGCTCGCCTTCTTCTCTCCAACCTGGTTTTAGCAGGCCTGCCAGCCACTGAGCTATCTATCAGCTGGCTTGTTGTGATGGACAATACCATAAAAAGAAAGCTGGACGCACGGCTATAGGAGGAATTAGAACTTCACTATAGTTTTAAAACTTGGAATATTAAAAATCAAACACGGGGGCCAGGGGTTTGCAAGTAGAAGAAGTTAAAATATAACCAGTGGTAACTATGGGAGGATTATCTCCCATCCTCAATAATTAACCATTACGAGTTCTGCTGTTGTAAGGTACATGGGGTGCGGGAGAAAGAATTGCTCACTGATTAAAAAGGGAGGCCAAAGTGCAGTTTACAGAGATCTCCTATTGGGCTTCCTCCTGCTTCAGTGCGGAGTGCACAGGTCTCAGCATGCAGCGCGCTATCTCCAGCCAAGTAGCAAGGCACCGTATGCGTATGTACAGCGCTGAGGCCAATGGGGCTCCCTTTAGGGCTACTACAATACAAATAACAATGACAATATGAACATCTCTGAGGAGCAAGGCTGCGGTGGGGGGGTGGTGGCGGGGGGGCAGAACCGCCCAAAGTTAGTGCTAGGGATCTTGAAGAGTTTCAAAGAATGGAAGATTTGGGCCCATTGGCCTGGCACTGGTTTGTTGCTGTGCCCAGATGTCATGGTTCCGGGCTCCTGAAGAGATCTGTTTGCATCACTAATTGGGCCTCATGCAAAACACATGGACTCCCATTGACCTCACTGGGCTCTGGGATCAGGCTCACAGAGGTTATCAGGGATACAGAAAACAGGGCAGCTCGGGGTCACAGCGAGTTGATACACATCCGGGCCTCTGGGTGCAGGGGCTGAGTTAATACATGGGGGTTTTATGGTCTCATTCTAATGCCTACATAGACACATAACAAAACCACAGCACAGACGGGCACATGTGGCCTTCTCTTTTCATGCAAGGCCTGGGACTGGATTAGCAAGTCAGGAATGAGTTGGGCTGGGAACGCTTGGATGGCATCTATCTCCGCTCTGGTCAGCCTGAGGCAGTGCTGTCAGCCCCTTCCTTTCAAGAGCAATGAATTCACTTTTTATACGTTTAAAACTAATGAGTTTATCAGAACTTAAAATATCCAAAAGAAGAATTGCACAGCACAATGCAGGTCTGGCACAGGCCAGAGAACTTCCCCCAAATAGTTGCTAGAATAGATTTTTTTGAAAAAAACATCCTATCCTGTCTAGCTTCAACTTTCTGCCATTGGATTGTATTATCCCTTTCTCTGTTAGATTGGGGAGCCCATTATT